AATAAATAAATAATTCGTTTTTTATATTTCGAGTCAAATTGTCATTATGAACCAATGTTACAATTTCAAATAAACCATATGAGAAAATGTCATATTATGAGTGTCATTTTCTATTGAATTAAGCAAAAAATATTGAGGGTGCCATTTAAAAATCAAAAGTTGTCTTTTCCGGTGAAACATGAAGTTACCAAAAACAACTGAATAAAAAAAATGATCAATGAGAAAATCGAATTTTTACTTTCACCCTAATCTGATTTACTTCAATTCCAGTCTCCAAAATCTCATTTAATTCTGTTACAAAATCATGTAAAAATTCTTGTGATGGAGCTTTTTACTTGCCACAATAAATAGCTGTCACCATGGGTTGATCGCAAGGATATTCATGCATTTTTAGAAGTATTGCCTAAAATTCTAATGGAGAACTCCTAAATGTCGGCAAGCCGTCGACATTAAAATTAGAGACTATAATAAATGTAGGCAAGCCGTCAACATTAAAAATTAGAGACACCGATTCTAGGTTGGTCTCTTTGTATAAACGTACTACTAAAATCTTCCTTATTCCATTGTACCAATGGCACAATATCTCAGTGTACTCAATAAAGTCCTGCTGTTTCCTGGCAATGATGTTAAGCCTTCATTTTTTAGTATACCAAGTAAATCTGTTAAAGCAATGTGACTAATTTGGTGTTTTAATGCCCAATGCCTTAGTTCCTGACTTATGTTACTTTCTTCTCTGAGCTCTGTTTTATCTTTAAATTCATCAGTAGTCACCAACTCGACATTCCTAGCAAAATGCAGCTATAAGAACTTTACAAATATATAGAAAATACGACAATTATACATAATAATAATATGTATATGAATTTTCAAAAATAAATTTAAAATAATTTATTGTCATATCAAAGCCCAGGCATACTTCTCTAAATTTAATCCAATAAACCCTTTATCCTGGTGAACTTATCTAGGAACTTCCACTAGCAGCGCAGTGAACAAACAATTTTATTGATCTTTATTCTTGTGGTAACGGAGAGGATGGGTAAATACGCGATCTGCTACTATAAAGAAATAATTTTTAGTTTCCACAACTTTATAGTAGCAAGACGTCAATAGGAGTATAGTACCCGTTACTTTATAGTAACAAACCATAGTTGCAGCTACTATTTTGGGACCAACAATCAGTACCCAAATGTCTCGTAACTTTAAGACCCAAAATATAGGGTACTGCGACTATTCTGCGACTAAGCATGGGACTATATAGTAACAAGTACTTCATACACCCAGTCTAGTAGCACAGGCTGGTGGCCGTTCCGTATTTATTGTCACTATGTATATTTTGCCACTTAGTGGTAACAATGAAAGGATTTGCGTAGTCCCAGTTACTAGACGCAACAACCCATTTGCTACCTTAATTTTGGGTGTTTAAATTTCAAATGACTAGTAACAGGGTGGTAACAGATACTATCCAAAAATACTTTGCAGTGGTATTATCGGATATAGTGACAAATTAGATAACAGAGTGCACTCAGGAACTATGTTTTTGTAGCCAGTCTTAAACCGAAGGGATTTGGAACTATCTGTGTTGCTTGGGTTCTCCTCATCGGAGATTGGCGACCATCAATTGGAATTCCTCCCTGTCTTGAGGCAAACGGATAATTGCACTGGCCTCTCCTATATTAAACCACTGGCGCAAATTGCGCAACCAGGAGAACCGTTTAAGCCCGATGCCTCGTTGTCCTTCAATCTTTCCCTCAAGGATCAGCTGTAGGAAACTATATTTGTTATTTCTAAAAATATGACTAAAATATGCTGCTTTCCGTCGTTTTATTGTAGTCAATAGTTCTTGGTCCTTACACATTCTTTCTAATACTTCAAGATTTGTTATTCTTTCGGTCCAGAATATTTTCAACATTCGTCGGTATAACCACATCTCAAATGAATCTAAGCGTGCTATGGTCCGTGCCTTCAACGTCCATCCCTCGACTCCGTACAACAATGTAGACAGTACATAGCATTTGGTAGCTCGCCATCGAGTAGTCAGATTCAGGTCTCGGTTGCATAGTAGAGTTTTCATTTTGAAAAAAGTGTTTCTGTCTATTTCAATTCTATGTTTGATTTCTTCATCAGGATCCCATTTATCATTCAGTCAGCAACCCAAGTACTTAAATCATCTTACCCTTTTTATGGTTTGATCTTCTACTTGTATCCTGATATTTTCAATATTTAGTTTGCTGATAATCATAAATTTTGTTTTGTTAGGTTGTGACTCCACTAATTGATGTTTTAAGGATTGATTGATTTAGTTGCGAAGATATCGGAGTTTTATCCTACAGAAAATACAGCTTTGTATTCTATTCCACATCGAAACCTTTCAATTTAGTTTTGTTCGCTTTTTAATCTCATGCGAGACATTTTTACAACCAGAACGCCTACCTGTTTACATTTCGAAACCATAAATAAACTCACCTATAGCGCCTTTAGCGTTTTTCCGCTCTATTTTATTAAAAAATAAAGAATTATGCACGGTCGGTCGTATACCGGCCGCAAATGAATTGTTCCTAGTCTTCTTTGTGGCCGTCCAATCTTTCAAACGCTGGACATACCTGTCGATAGTGTTTTGAGAAGCAACGTTAATTTATTACCTTTAAATGCAACAGGTACACTTAAGTGGAGCGGTCCTAAATAGGGCCCGTGACAATTGGCCAGTCAAAACGGACCGATGTATTTGCGGTAAGCAAGGTGGGTTCTTTGAAAAATGCGACAAAAATGTTTCTGGTAGCTCACGTTTTAACAGTTCGAGCTATCCTAAAAATAAACGGATGAATCAATTTGAAAAGCGTAGGTGTAAAATCTTTGAAGAAGACTAAGGAAGGAGCATATCAAAATTCTTAGGTACACCGCGATGGGCCTCAAATATGGCCGACTTAAATTCCGGTTTATCAGTGTCGTTCTAATTTTATTAAAAAAATGTTTTATTTTACGTTGTGAATAAATGTTGGTAGTTATTAAAATTGTTATAAAAATATATAATTCTAATAAAAATAAATAAGTTATAGTAAGTATTTATTAACACAACCATCCGATACGCTATACTGAAGCAGCTAAGTCAAATTAACGTATCTAAATTCTTTGACATCTAATCTTTGACAAGTAATAAATAAAAGCTAAAAGGCAAGAAAAATATATAATTTAGTTAATTTAAGTGAATTTCATAAATGATCGGTTTACTACACGTATGTATATTATATAGTCACTTACTAGCGAAAAGTTGTTCCATTATTTCACTCAATTTTTGCCGAGATCTACCGCACGCTACACAACCAACTATTTTAGAGTCTTTTTCGATAAATCGCGATAGTGTCACTGTTAATTTAAGTTCTGCCACAATTTCCATCTAGATTTACTACCTTTATACAACTATCAGTAGTAGAATAAATAATAAATAACATAAAATAAGCTCCGTAAGGACTGACAAATCCACAAAATTTCAAATCAAATTCAAATGTGTCAAATGAATCGTCAAACAGAACTGTCAAGGATCCCCACCCTAGAGTGCTTTTTCCGCCCACCATGCATGAATACATGGATAGCGTTATGCTCCTTCCTTAGTCTTCTTATTCAAAGTGTAAAATGGAATAATTCACTTTTCAATATACCGTGTTAGAGGTGGGAATTCTAGTTCCTTGCATTTTTCCTCACTTCAAGCTTTTTGTTTTTGCCTAAAAATTCAGAATATCTACTTCGTTTTATAAGATATTTCTTAATTTTAGGGACCTAAAGTGAAACATTCCCATAAAGTGAAACATTCCCATAAAATATTCACACTAAAAATCAAAAACAGCATCCACGACAATTTTCTTTGATAATTACGCCGGCTGTGGCAACAGACAAGGCCGAATCCATCTTCGTCGCCTTGTATTATATCTCGGATCTGTCGACTGAATAGATTCCCGTGAACTAATCTTTTAATTAGTTCCTCTCAGTCTTTTCGGTCCGGGACAGGTAACATACGACTGGCACTCTCTACTCCCGCCTAGCATCGGGCTACAACAGGATCAGTAAGCGCTGTTGTTACGTCGTAAACTAGTCTTTTATTTAATTCCTCTAGGTCCTCTAGGTCCGAATCCGATAATATACTGCTGGCACTCCCCACTCTCGCCTAGCATTGGGAAACGATCTCGCTAGCCGATTCGTACGTAAACTAGTCTTTTATTTAGTTCCTCTAGCATATTATTATATATCGATCACAGTCTCGATCCCGAAATAGGTTCTTTGGAACTATACTCTGTTTTTTTTTCTCAGGTAAGATTTCGACAGACGATGACAGAAGAAAAGCAGATGACGTCCCATACCAATCTATTTATTTTACTAAAAAATTTCTAATAAGTAACTATGGGTTGGGATGGTATAAGTAGGGGAAATGTGCCCGTGATGGACCCCCGCCTATGATGAACCACTACCTATATTTTCAAATTTACCGCGGATAACGAACTGTGGCCACCTAGGGTAGACTAGTTAAAGTTTAAAATTAGTTGTTTACATGTGCTTATGCAAATACAAGCTGTTTTTGTGAAATTAAAAAATAAACTTATTACTGGTAAGTATTGATGTAACAAAGTAGCATGATATGATGTCAAGTAACTTTTTTTTTACGCACAGCTAGAATCTGCTGTTGTTGCGATAGGTTAAAAGAACTGTTGTGTAATAAGTGCCAGGCACAAATTAGGGTTATGTCCAATATTTTAAAAGCTTAGTATTTTTAAATGGCGTATTCAAAATGGCCTAGGATGGACCCCTTAGCTGTTTCCTATGATGAACCAGGGGTCCATCATAGGAAAATCATAGGGCCATCATAAGCAATGCATTTTTTATAAGTTATTTTTTTTTCTTTATAGACATGGCATCTAACAAACGGCAACAGTGGAACGAGGAGGACATGCGACGGGCTATTATTAACGTACAAAGCCAAAATATGGGCTATAAATTAGCTGCAAAGACCTTTAATGTTCCCAAGACAACATTGCGAAGAAAAACAAGACAGCTCCAAGGGTTATTTAGGAGGGAGAAAGGCCACTTTCTCCAAAGCCATAGAAGACGAGATTGCAGGTCATATAATCGAAATGGAGACAAGATTTTTTGGACTAACTTCCAAAGATTTACGGCGGATGGTATTTGAAGTAGCCGAAAAAAATAAAATAAAACATTGTTTCAATCGGGAAGTTAAACTGGCAGATTGGAAGTGGGTTAGGGGACTCCTAAAACGCAATCCACAAATATCTTTGAGAAGCCCAGAAAGTACGTCATTAGCTAGAGCCCAGGCATTTAACAAACCTAATATAGAAGCCTATTTTAACGCACTATCCAATATTCTGGAGCAGTACAACTTTTTGTCCGAAAATATATACAATATGGATGAATCAGGTTTGACTACGGTGCAAAAAAAATGCCAAAAAATTTACGCTGCAAAAGGTCGGAAGCAAGTGGGTGCTCTTAGTAGTGCCGAGCGTGGATAGCATGTAACTGTAGTATGCGCAATGAATGCCATAGGCACTTACGTCCCTCCTGCTCTTATTTATCCTCGTCAAAGGATGAATGAGGAACTAATGAACGGTGCTCCCGCTGGTAGCATAGCTTTTACGCAAGAAAAAGGTTGGATGACCAGTGAAATTTTTTGTAAATGGCTAAAGCATTTCGTAAGATATACGAAAGCGTCTAATGAGAATAAAACTCTTTTACTTCTTGATGGTCACAGTAGTCATAAAAGTCTTGAATCTCTACAAATTGCAAAAGAAAATGGTGTTATTGTGTTTTGTTTTCCTGCACACTGTTCTCATCACGTTCAACCTTTGGATGTTGGATTTTTTCGTCCACTTCATACCTACTTTGATCAAGAAATCCAGTTATGGCTGCGTCAAAACCCGGGAAAAGCAGTAACCCAATTCAAAATAGCAGGTCTTCTAAACCAAGCCCATTTAAAAAGTGCAGTCCCATCAAATGCGATAAATTCGTTCAAGAAGACGGGCATCCATCCTTTTAACCCCCATGTTTTTGAGGACTGGCAGCTTGCACCAGCTCTAGCAACAGATAAGCAGATGTCCGAAACTCGAGGCGATATCAACGAAAACCAAATGGAATTAGACATTCAAGACCAACCAAGTACATCTTGTCATAACTTGTCTTCATCATCAGTTCTCGACATCTCGGTAAAAGAAATTTTGCCCCCACCACAAGCAATAGCCATTGGTGCTGATAAGGAAGCAAGAGAAGGCGTGGAAAAACTGGCCATTTAAATTCAACTCCAGAAATTTCTGAACTTAAAGATAAAGTAATTGAGAAGGAAATAAAGTTAAGAAAACAACAGGGCAGGGCAGTAAAACGAAAACTTGTCATTGCAAATAATGACGACAGCTCTGATGAAGATGAAACCATCTTAGAAGAATTTTTAGGACGCGAAAAGCACGAATCCGATGCTAGTTGTCTATATTGCAATGAGTTATTTTCTCAATCACGTGCAAGAGAGAAGTGGATTAAATGCCAGCTTTGTCAGTCCTGGTGCCAAAATTTATGTGCAAGCTACCGATGTAAAACGTTTATTTGCGAATTATGCTCCTAATCTTAATTATTTGTCTTGCGTTTGTTAAACTAATGTTAATTTTGTTTTTTTCTTAACTTTTAAACTATTTTTTTTTGTCTGCTTTAGGTTAGTTTATTCCATTTTTATTATAGAAAAATATTTTGTTTCAAATAAAACTTTTGAAAGGCGTTATCTGTTGTTTTTATAGGGGACCGACATAGGTACATAGGTGCCAATGATAAACCCTCGACTATGTTTTATTATTATGATTATTTTATTTAATACGAAATTATTTAGTAGCAAATTCACCTCATATATATTAAATTTGGAAATAAATAATCGATTTTCAAAAAAATAAATCTAATAACTACAAAAACTAAAAAGTTATAATGGAATTTCCTTAAGGGGTCCATCAGGGGCACATTTCCCCTAACTAAGATGGGTTTAAATATAAATCCGTCATGCGTCGTCTCTTGTTGTTTTTAACCAGTTTTATTGGTTTATTTCAAAAATGACAGATCATATTTCAATTTTATTGGTTTGCCGGAACGATGAACGACAAACGGACGCCGATGCGTATGAACTCGCCTTTAGATTTTTGAGGCTTGTCAAAGTCTTGCCAAATTATAGGTTATAATTTTGTGTCAACTCATGTCAAATACCTGCGTTTTGGAAGATGATGCATTTTGATTCGTGTTATTACGCGAGTTTTGTGTCTTTTGAAGTCAAGTGGAGGAAAAATCGAGGGAAAATTAACTGTAGACCCAGAAGCACGGTTTATAGTTAATACTTGCTGCCCAGGCAGAAAGTCTTATACACCAATAAAGTTACCATCAATAAAGTTTGATTACCATCTCGTCGTAGATAAGTGCATCTCGTATATGTATACGTACTAAACATATACTAAAAACTGGAGTAGCTGTAAAATATCGACATCACACGATAGGTAAATAATGGATTTTAGTACTGCAGAAAAATAATGTCAAAAGGTACTGGTTTAAAAAAATTAAGATTAAAGTTAATTAATCAACCTTTAAGGTATGAAATTTGGTAAGTGTTATTATTAATAAAATAGTTTGTTTTAGTTATGTGAAATATTACAAATTTGTAATTGTACATAAGTTATATTGATAAATAAAATAATAAGTGCGGGAAGTTTCTTGAAGCTTGAAAGTAAGAAATAGTTCTTTTTTATATTTTTTTGGTATGTGGTGTTGTGTTCTTGTTTGTTTTGTATTACACATACCGTCTTTTTTTAAATAAAATAACTAACCTAACTCGATTACATTTTTTCAGTTTTATACATTTTTTTTCACAATATTTTGAAGTAATCACCTCGGTAATCACTTATATGTTTTGTGTCACTTATCATTCAAATTTTAAATTTATTTTTCCTGCTATATACGTTCCAGTTGTACCAACTTGTTTCTTTGTAAAATAATTTAGTTAAAATAAACTACTTTAAAATTAAAATGACAGACACATCTATCACTGTCAAGGATCTTGTCGTTGGACAGCCTATAGTTCGTTCACGAACTACACACCTCTATACCGTTTGTTTTGTGTGCATCGGAATGCGGGACATAGAAAATCACATGTTAATTTTGAAAATGTCAAATATTATCTCCCCCGAAGCATTAAAGTTGTACTGTCATGTCGCCTAAAATTTCATTTTATTTGAAATATGCATCTAAAAGTTGTTTGCAAAAATCTACCTTCAAATTACTAAAAATTTATAATACGGCCCAAGGAAAGCTACAATTAAAATACAAGCAAAAATATGATTTTGTCATTGTCAAATTCGATGTCACGTTTTTTTTTGTTTGCGAGAATTTATGTGGTATGATTATGATTTTTCTGAATTGGAATGATCATCTACAAAAGAACTAGTTGAACTAAGAATAGTAGTCGCGATGTATGACTTGTTTGCTGTTCATTACTCGATCACTCGCAGGCCTCGCTACATCCACAATAATTTAACAAATAAGATAAATATATGTAACTAAAGGAACTTTATTAAACTATGCTAATTAATAAAATGTTTACATAATCCCCCATTCACAGCCAAAGAATACCCCAAATGATTGTGAACTTTAGGTCTCACAATACAAAGCTGTTAAGGGGAGAATCTTTAGCATTCCACAGAGATGTGTTTTTAGTCCATCTAAATTTCTGTATTTAATATGCTCATAAAGACGCTTTTTGAGTGTGCTCCACAGGAAGAAGTCGTTCAGCAAAAGATCCTGTGGTATTTTAATCCTGTATGTCTAATAAATGCTCAAAAGTCATTGTTGTTTTCTTCCTGTTCAAGAGATAATATTTGATCCTTTCAAAATTTACTGTAATTTCCTATGTCCCGTAGTCTAAGAGCTGGCTACATAAAAAACCTTATCATCGTTACATGGCTAATTTTTCTTATGAAGTCTCCTTATGTGCAGCCATTATGAAATAGTCGTGTCTGCCATCGCGATCCCGGGGCTTAAAGCGTGGGCAGCCAATCGAAGGGGTGAAATTTTGACATTTTTTTTTTCAAACCCTTTATTAACTAAAAACATATACATTATCACAGACTTACACTAACTAACTTAACTAATAATGCACTTAACTAATGTACTTAATACTAAATCGAAATATAAAAAGCTTAACCAACTGAAGAAAAAAACTGTATGCATTTCAACAAACTGTCCTCTATGTTAATAAAATAAATTTTAAGACGAAAGAGCGCCCCAGCAGAACAAAATCAAAAAATCTCTCATAAAAAAACTCTTTAAACAGCAAAAATTTTATTTGAAAAAACATCTCCCTTACCAAATTTTATCTTTTGCCATCTTTTCTCCCGTAAAACATTTTTGAAGCTATCCAAATTTTGTGTTCTCATTTGTACATTAAAAAAAATTATTGCCGCGATGTAGAACTGCCAAACATTTGTATCTTTCTTACTTTGAAAAGTTATTTGTATAATTTCCAAAAAGTTATTACAAAATTCAATATTCTTTTTAAACTTATACAATAAAATTGTTCTTAGCCATGTCCAAGCGGGTCTCACTCTATCACATTCCTTAATATAGTGCCACAAATTTTCAACGACATTGCATTCTTTACATTTATCAGTTATATCCATATTGTGATTATATAATTTTTGTGCAACCTGTAGAATATTGTTAATCACTTTATACACAGCTGTTTTCCATTCTGTTGATAGTTCGCAATTTGCCATTACACTCCAGATTTTTCTCCAGTTATACTTTGGAAATTTATTTTCTATTTCTGTTTTTTCGTAAATATTATTGATTAAAATTTTATATATGTTATTTGTGTTGACAATATTTGTTTTGGAAAATACCAAGTTTTCTGATTTCATCTGTAACTGAATTTTCTTGATTGCACAATATTTTGTGACATATTTGTCTTCAAAAATATTACTAACTATAGACGCCATTCCATATTTTATTTTTTACTGAGCACCATGCCAAATACTGGGTCTTCAAAAAAAGAGAAGAACACAAAATATTATAAGATACACGAGTTATAATTGCGAAAATAGCTTTTATTTATTATTAAAGAACGTGAAAAATTGATGGCAGACATTTTCTTGTCGCTAAAATACCGGCAGACAATGCGAAAGAGGCAAGAAATTTTGAAAAAAAATATGGCTCACATTCATGCTGATTTGTGGAATGTCATATTTATTCATTTTAAAAGCCGTATGCAAAAGGGCAAACAAAAAGATCGTGGCTAAATCAGCGGCAGACAGTTATTAAAAGTGCGATATTACTTTAGTAATGTCGCTTTTTTCAGGGAGCGTTCCCTGAAAACGCTAGTAAGCCTTGAAAATCTTGCATTTTTTAAAAATTTTCCGTTATATTATAGAAAACTTTATAGAACTGCCTGTTCACCGCAAATTTACCCACGGTATAATTTTTTAATCTACCATGCTTACGGCTTTACTCTATGGTTACGACACTAAAAGAATGGATGCAAATACAGAAAAAAAAACAGGTGACACAAAATTATTTAAGAATATATCTTTCTAAAAATGTCTTTTTAAATTTTCAAACTTGAACGGTTATTTTGGACTCATTTGAAAAATGGTAAAGAGAAAATATATTTCTTTTGCCGAGATACCAGCCCTGAACATATTTTCACTTATCCAAGACTCACCCTGTATAGTAATATCGCGCTTTTAATAACCCTTTACCGCTGATTAAGCCACGATTTTTTTTGTCTGCCCCTTTTGCATACGACTTTTTAAATAAATAAATATGACATTCCACCAATCGGCATGCATGTATGCGATTATTTTTTCTTTGTTAAAATTTCATGCCTCTTTCGCGTTGTCTGTCGGCATTTTAGCCACGAGAAAAATGTCTGCCAACAATTTTTCACGTTCCTTAATAATAAATAAAAGCTATTTTCGCAATTATAACTCGTGTACCTTATAATATTTTTAGTGTCAAAATTTCACCCTTTCGATTGGCCTCCCCCGCCTTAAGCCCCGCCTAAACCACCGGGATCGCGCTGGCAGACATGATTATTCCATAATGGCTACACAAAAGGATACTTCACAAGAAAAATTAGCCATGTAACGATAATAATGTTTTTTATGTAGCCAGCTGTCCGTCTACATACAGTATAGAGTTGGAAGCATACCATGCATAGAGTCTGCATAAGGTGCATAAGGTGCTGAGTTTTTTTTAAGAAATGTATTATGGTATT